TGGGGGCTATACGAAGACGTGAACCTGCACAGATAATTTGCTGTCTTAGGTTGTAGTATCCATTTCGAACTTCAAATACCAAATTTGAAACAATTCCGGGTTAGAATGTCGCTAAAATCATCAAAATACCGGATATAGGGAGGTACCGTTCAAAGGGGGTTATACGAAGACGGGGACCTGTACAGATAATTTTCTGTCTTAGGTTGTAGTATCCATTTCGAACTTCAAATACCAAATTTGAAACAAGTCCGGGGAATAATGTCGCTAAAATCATCAAAATACCGAATATCGGGAGGCACCGTTATATGGGCGCTATATGAAAACGTGGACCTACATAGCCCATTTACGAACTTAACCTGCCTACTGGAAAAATAAACATGTGTGCAAAATTTTAGCCTTCGATCTCAATTCGTTCGAAAGATAGCGTGGTTACAACAGACAGACAGACAGACACACGGACGTCGCTAAATCGTCTTAGAATTTTACGCTGATCAAGAATATATATAGCTTGGTGGGTGTAACGTGAGTATTTCGAGGAGTTACAAACGGAATGACAAAGTTAATATACCCTCCATAGTATGGTGGAGGGTATAACAAGATGAGTGGTAAAGTAAGAATCTCCATAGGAAAATTTCGGTCCTTCTAGGAACCTAAGTACTATCAAGTCATGTCTAGCTTCTTGGGAATGTCTTTTTTTTGTGGGAGGTTGGTTTTGATGGCAGACTTGTTTTTTTTAAGAATACATTTTTACGGAGTATCTGGACTGCGAAAATTAATTTCTAAGGAATATTTTGTGAGGAACCACTTGAGCCGCAAACGTGGATTTTCAAGCAATAATTTCTCAGAGTCTACCTTAGCCCCAAAGATGATTTCTTAAAGAACTCTTTTTGAGGGACTATCTGGATTTTAAGATTTTTCAAGCGATTATCTGAGCCGCCAACATGAATTTCTAAAGAAGACTTTTTGAGAAAACACATGGGCCGCAAATGTGAATTAAAAAAAAAATCGAAAACTTCTATACTCCAAACATGAGTTTTTAAGCACATATTTTTTTAGGGATCATCAGAACCACCGAGGAAGGATGGGCATTTATGAGGGGTATTTTGAGACGCAAATTCAGATTTTTAAACAGATCTTGAACCGCACACAAAGACTTTGAAACATTGATTTTTAAATATTTTTGCTTTGTAGAAGAAATAGAGAAATTCTCTGATGGTCCTCTCTGTATAAGGCTTTTTAAAGGATTTCTACATGTGGAAGAAGATCTAAATCAGTAGGAGGCCTTTGAAGGTTTCATGTTTATCTGCAAAAGACCTATGTAAAAAATTCTTTGTAGGAATTCCTTAGTGAGGACAATAAAACCGACACGAATTATGACCTTCACACGGCCAATGAAACCGACACACGCTGCCCGAATGTTGCTTTGCGGAATTTTGGTCCATTTCCGGCGAAGCTCTTACTTGAGGTGATCGATACTTTGGTATTTTTTAGTGCCAACCTTGCTTTCCAAAATGCACCAGACGCCAACGGATTGGTATCCGAAGATTTTGGTGGCTATTGTGCGCTGGAAATGAAGCGAGGAACCTTATTTTGAAACCATTCTTGGGTGGGGCCAGCTGAGTGCGATGGTGTTGAGTCCTGTTGGAATGTCCAAGGTCGGCGGCTAAAATTTTTCCGTGCCTAAGGCTTTAATATTCGGCATTTATTCTGATGCCACGGTTTATTAGTACGAGCGGATAGAGATCATCGGCTGTTATGGCGGTCCACACCATCACCATGTCCGGCGCTAGAGTTCTAGTGGCCAGACGAAGGTGCACATTTTCAGCTGACCTCTTTGGCAAGTAAACACGATCATTTTGTTTGTTTACAAACTGCTGGACAACGAATGTTTTCTCATCGGAGAAAACCAAATTCGGCAGTTCACCACTTTCGGCCAAGCGAAGCAACTCTTTAGCTCTTTTGAGTCTATTTTCTTTCTGTTGCGGTGTAAGTTCTTGCAATTTTTGGAATTTCAATGACTTTACCCCGAGCTCATTTTTCAATATTTTCCGAATGGAATATTGCGATATGTTCAGCTCATAAGCCATTTTTCGGCCACTGCGACTAGGGTTTCGATCAAGTCGCTTCTTTACTTTTCGAACCATTTCTTTCTCAAGTCGCTGTTTTCTTCCGTCCACTTCCTTGACATTGGGCGACGCTACTAGTATCACGGTAACGAGCGATGGTACGAGACACAAAAGATTTATTCATATTTAAATGCTGGAGTGCTCTAACGATTGCCACTTAGGGTTTTCCAGCCAAATATAAAGAAATCATACTATCACGCTTGAATTCCATCACGAATAACTTTTGTGTCTGGAAAATTCTCACCAAAATGCTTTTGTACGCTTATAAACAATATAATGAGCTGCCACTGGAATAATTTTAACGGCTGTCGGACGAGTGGCTTAGAAATAACAGCAGTCTGAAGTTGTTTGCAATTTTTTTTATCTCACACTGTATGTCCGGAAAAAACTTTCTTGAAATACTTTCCGGATGACTGAAACCCAAGAAAATTATGGTTATTGTTGAATTTCACCACTACCACTATTGGTAGACAAAACCAAAAGTTTATATCGTTCTCCAGTTTTGGGCAAATGGAGGATCGAATCTCAGTCATGATCAGAGAAATAACGCATCAGGAGAGGACCGGACAGATTATCGATGATAACATTAAAACACCGTGACTCTCCCACCATAGTTCTCAGTCTATCGCAAACCATCCACACTGTTTACGAACCCTGGAAAATGGATAGACAGTTGGTCCCCCAACTGCTATCCGACAAGGATGTCAGCAACGGTGGATCATATCATAGGAATAAAGACTCTAGAGTCATTTCGACCGTTACATATCTCCAAGTTTAATAAAATATTCCGTAAGGAAGGAAAAATTCAAAAAGAAACAGGAGGAGCTAGAGACTAGAAGATTTTGTATACAACACTAGCAAATGCTTTGTTGGTCCTAATTGCCGACAATTCGACATGGCAACGACAATAACGACATGGCAACGACTAAAAGAGTTATCCGCAAGAATAGGATCTGCCTGATCCAGAGCAAATTTTGCTTCCACTCTAAAACGAAAAAGGTATTCGCTCTTATTCGAGCCACACGAAAAATAGAATATAATTGAGTTTTTGCTCCCAGGAGTGCTCTCGCTCTAATTCGAGTGAATTTTTCTCTTTATTTGAATTTGAAAAATTCAAAAATCAGAATTTTTGTGAAAATTCTAAATTCCTTTTAAATGATTAGACTTTCACCGGCAATGGTTCTTGAAAAATTACCCTCTTGTATAACCAAATAATTTTTTGTCATAGTACCCATTATGAACTTTAAGTACGAAATTTGGAACAATTCCATTGAATAATGTCTCTAATATCATCAAGATACCGAATACGAATACATTAAAAATTGTTGGCATAGGTTTAAGTACCAATTCCGAAATTCTAATACGAAAATTGACACACCTCCGGTGAATAATGTCTCAAAAATCGTCAAAAGCCCGAATATCGGGAGGTATCGTTCTATGGTGACTATATAAAAACGTGGACTGGCAAGTAGTTTTTTTGTCATAGGTTTGAGTTTCTTCGCAGATAAAAGTATTGAGAATTGTGACCCTTTGTGGATGAGGTACCAGAAAGGGTTCGCAGATATATAATGTCTTCACAACAGATCTTATGTGTGAAATTTGAAGATAGTGGGATGCTTATTTCGCTTTCTTTGAGCGTTTTGTTTTACAAAATCTTGAACCCTATGTGGGATAGTTACCAGAAGGTATGGTCCGATTTCTACCGTTTTTATAACAGATTCAGTGTAGATAGAAATATTCAGATGTGCCAAGTTTAAATGGTATCGGATGGTAATTTCGTGTTTTATGAGCTTCGTGGATATTCAAAATGTTAACCCTTTGTGGGGCAAGTTCCAGAAGGAGTCGACCGATATATTGCATCTTCACACCAGATCTGTGGTTGATATTGGGATGTGTGAAATTTGAAGACAATCGGACTCTAACATCACATTTTATAAAGGTTATAACTGTTCAAAATTTGTACCCTTTTTGTGGGGGAGGTACTTGATACAGTAGACCCATATTATCCATTTTCGCACCTGACCTAGCACTGATGCAAATATTAAGATTCGCAAAGTTGGAGCAAAATCGAATTATACTTAATTTTTCGGTGCAGTAAATTATATTCTTTGAAAATTTTGACATTTTCTGTGGGAGGTACCAGAAGAAGTGGACCGATATTGCCCATCTCCGAACTCGACCTAAGTTTGACAAAAATATTAGTTTGGATCAAATCGGATACTCCCTTCGAAAGTTATTGTGCGCACCAGCCAAACAGACAGACGGACGGACGGACATTGCTAGATCGACTACAAATGTCCTGAAACGTACTTGGTCCAAAGAGATCTAGGGTCTAAAACCGTTATTTCGATGAGGCACGTTTTGGCCGTATCAAATGATATATACCCTCTCTAGCCATATGGCTATTTGGTATCCTAGAGGTGTATACCACAAGCAGTAGGATTACGTTCTTTACGTATTTCAGATACATACTATCATATGATACAAAATATAATACCAAAATAAAAATTTAGAAATACCCTGAACATTTTTGAAATTTTCTTGGAAGATTCTTCCCCGATGCACATTTCGAATGGAGAACAACCATCCGTTCATCCATCCACATTACATACCTCATGAGCCCAGGCCTCGGCATTCAATTTGGCAGCAGCATCGACACTTTCTTTGTTACCCATGATGCGTTGTGGCTTTTGTCCTTGTGTGCGTGTATATGTGACGGTAACTGCTGTTCTCCTTGTTGTTGCTGCCGCTGATACTTTTGTTGTAGTAAAAGTTAAGTTCTCAGTGGTGGTTGCCTTGTTCAGAGAGAGAGGAGAGGAAAGAATTTGCTACTGTCGTTGTTTTCTTTACTTTTGTGTGGTTGTTATTTCTCTGCTACTGCTGTTGTTGTTGTTGCTTCTCCTTTCGTCTTCTGGTTTGTTATCGTTTGCAAGTGACTTGGCGAGTACGGGCGTGAGTGAGTATTAGTAAATATCAGTTGTTGGGATGACTTGAGGTATATTTAAACGAAACACTTTAGAAGTTGGATAATTTAGTTTAGCGGGTTTCTCTCTTTTTTTTTTTTTGCTACGTTCTCGTTCTATTTTTCGTTTAGTTTTCTTGATTTTTGTTGTTGTTTTTACTTCTGAGGGTTTTCTTGGGGTTTCCGTTTAATTAGTGATGAGTGAGTGTAAGTTTTAGTTTCAGTTTGGGTTGGGTTTTGTTTTTCCTATTTCGAAATTGTCGAAGTTTTAGTTTTCAGTGATTTTTTTTACTTCTTTTTGTTGCTGCTGTTGTTTTTGTCGGTATTTTTGTGGTTATCTTTCTAAGCCGCGATACGAAATGCAATATTTTGTTCTACCTGTGAGTTAGTCGGGGTCTTATTTTTCGTTTTTTGATAAAATGTAATTAATATTGGGGAAGAAATAAATTGAGGTGTTAAATTATGTTTTTTGAAGTTGCGAGATTCAATTTTCGTAGTTTTTAGAAAAGTTCAGTGCAGTTTTTATATCTCACTTTTGTTTTTGGTTTTGTTGTAAATTTTTGTTATTAGTTGTTTGGGATAAATATTGGAGATGTTTTGTTTTTAAGAAACGGGAGGAACATATCACCTGAGGGGGGAGGGAGGAACATATCAAAATGTAGTAAAAGTATATCTTGGATAGAAGAGTTATGACACAAATACGGGACAGAGATATGACAAAGCAGATGTGCGAAGATCTTCTGTGATTTACAGGTCTTCTTTGTCCAAAAAACCTCTTCTCTGGCCAGAAGACCTCTTACAAGTCTTCTCCGGCCATGAGACCGACAAAAGACCTCATTCAGGTCTTCTCTGATCGGAAGAGCTTTTACAGTTATTATCCGGCCAGATAACCTCTCTCCTCGGCCAGAAAACTTCTTACACGTCTTCTTTGCTAGGAGATCTGTTAGAAGCCTTCTCCAAACCAAAAACCTCTCTTACAGGTCTTTATACAAAAAAAACCTCTTGTCTGGCCCGAAGACCACTTACAAGTCTTTTCCGGCCATGAGACCGACAAAAGACCTCTTTCAGGTCTTCTCTGATCGAAAGAGTTTTTACAGTTATTATCTTGCAATATAACCTCTTACAGGTCTCCACGTCTTCTTTGCCAGGAGATCTGTTAGAAGCCTTCTCCAAACCAAATACCTCTCTGGCCAGGATATTTCTTACAAAACTTATATGGCCAGAAGATATCTTACAGGCCTTCTTTAAGCAAAAAAATTCTTAGAGATATTCCATAACAAAAACAACACTTCACATAGATCTTCTCTGGCCAGAAGACCTCATACAGGTCATCTCTAACCAGAAGACCTCTTACATGTTCTCTTTGACCAGAAGACCTATTACACGTCTCTTTGACCAAAAATCTCTTACATGTTCTCTTTGGCCAGATGACCTCTTACAAGTGCTCTTCATCTCTAACCAGAAGACCTCTTACATGTCCTCTTTGACCAGAAGACCTATTACACATCTCTTTGACCAAAAAATCTCTTACAGGTTCTCTTTGGCCAGATGACCGCTTACAAGTGCAGATCTTCTATAACACAAAAAAAAAACTCACACAGGCAATCACACAGATCTTTTCTGGCCAGAAGACCTTATACATGTCAGACCAGAAGACCTATTACAGGTCTATTTGACCAAAAAAATCTCTTATAGGTTCTCTATGGCCAGATGACCTCTTACAGATCCTCTTTTGCCAGAAAATTTCTTATAGATAGTCGTTTCTAGCCAGAAAAACTCTTGCAGATCTTCTATAACCAAAAAGACCCGCACAGGTCTTCTTCTTTTTCAAATCTCCTTTGGCCAGAAGATCACTTACAGGTCTTTTATGGAAACATCTTACAAGTCATCTTTGTCCAGAAGACATCTGATATATGTCTTATCTGACTAGACCTCTAATAGGTCTCTAAGGGGAACTTTTAAGGGTCTTTTATGGACCTTTTAAATGTCGTTTCTAGCCAGAAGGCTTCTTGCAGATCTTCTATAACCAAAAAAAAAAACCCACACAGATCTTCTTCTTTTCCAAGTCTCCTTTGGCCAGAAGACCACCTACAGGTCTTCTCTGAAAACATCTTACAAGTCATCTTTGTCCAGAAGACATCTGATATATTTCTTATCTGACTAGACCTCTAATAGGTCTCTAAGGGGAACTTTTAAGGGTCTTTTATGGATATAAAACCTCTTGTCGGTCGTCAAAGGCTAGAACACCTTTCTTTTATGGCTTGAAGACCTTTAACAGGCATTCTATGGCTAGAAGATGACCACCTACAGGACTTCTAGGGCTTGAAGGCTTTTTACAGGTCTTATACCAGGAGATCTCTTACAGGTCTTCTCTGGCCAGAAGGTATCTTGGTAAGGTATCCACATACACTCTTCTGACAAGAAAAAAATCCGGCTGCAAAATGTTATGTTATGTTAATGAATCTAAAGGTATAGTTCTTTTGTGAACTGAAGACCTTACAGGTCTTTTATAGCTTATTTTTACAGGTTTCCTATACACAGAAGAAAATTTACAGGTCTTACATGGCCAGTAGACTTTTTATAGGTCTCATCAAGAGAGAAGACATTTTACTGGTCTTTTATGGACAGGAACTTTTACAGGTCCTCTCTGGACAGCAGACCTTTGACAGGGTTTTCTATGGACAGAAACCCTTCAGGAAATCTCTTACAGAACTTTTCTTGTCTTCTAAAGATAGAAGACCTTTTCGTGTTTTCTTTTATATGTCTTCTATAGAGACAGAGGACCTTTTACACGTCTTCCATAGCAATAAGACCTTTTACAGGACTTCCATATACCGAAGACCTTTTACAGGTTTTCTATAGATGGAATACCTTTTACAAGTCTTCTGTAGGAAGAACACCTTTTACAGGACTTTTGTAGACAAAATACCTGTTTTTATTGGATTTTCGGTAGTTATACCATCAGCCATATGGCTATCTTTTGATACGGGCAACACGTGTCTCATCGAAATAACGGTTTTAGACTAGGTCCCTTTGGACCAAACCGTTTTAGGTCAATTGGAGTCGATCTAGCGATGTCCGTCCATTTACCTGGCTGGTGGGCACGATAACTCTCTCTCACATCGTAATATTATTATCAAACATAGATCGAGTTCGGAGATGGGCAATATCGGTCCACTCCTTCTGGTACCTCCCCCACAAAAGGTCAACATTTTGCAAAAATATTTTACTCCAACTTTGGAAATCCTGATATTTGTACAGAGCTAGGTCAGTTGCGAAAATGGACAATATCGGTCCATTCCATCAAGTACCTCCACCACAAAGTGTCAACATTTTGAACAATTATAACCCTTATAAAATGTGATGTAAAAGTCCAATTGTCAATTACACACATCTCATTATTTTTGTTAAACCAAAATCTGGTGTGACGATGGGATATATCGTTACTCTCCTTCTGGTACCTCACCCACAAAAGGTCAAAATTTTGCAAAAACAAGTAAATAAAGCTGTAAGTTCGGCCGGGCCGAACTTTTAATACCCTCCACCATTTGGTACAAATTTGGCAATTTCCAAAAACATAAAATCCGTTAAAAATTCTGTTAAAATATTTAAAATACCGAATGCCTATACGACGACGTGGACCTGCATAGGCAACTTTTGTCATAAGTTATCACAATATTTAAATGCGAAACTTGAAGAAAAATCTGTTTATAATGTAGCTTAAATCATCAAAATACCGAATATAGGGGGTACCGTTATATGGGGGCTATACGAAGACGTGAACCTGCACAGACAATTTTCTGGCATGAGCTGAAGTATCCATTACGAACTTCACATGCGAAATTTGAAACGATCCTGGGAAATAATGTCGCTAAAATCATCAAAATACCGAATATCGGGGGTACGGTATATGGGAGCTATACGAAGACGTAGACCTACATGGCCCATTTTCTGTTTTATGCTGCAGTATCTATTACGAACTTCAAATACCAAATGATTCCGTTAAATAATGTCGCTAAAATCATCAAAATACCGAATATTGGGGGGTTCTGTTATATGGGGGATATATGAAGGCGTGGACCTACATGGATCATTTTTTGACTTAGGATGTAGTATCCATTACGAACTTCAAATCCCAAATTTGAAACGATTCCGGTAAATAATGTCGCTGAAATCATCAAAATACCGAATATCGGGGGGTACCGTTATATGGGGGCTATAAGAAGACGTGGACCTTCACAGGTAATTTTCTGTCTTAGGCTGTAGTATCCATTACGAACTTCAAATGCCAAATTTGAAACAATTCCGGTAAATAATGTCGCTAAAATCATCAAAATACCGAATATCGGGAGTTACCGTTATATGGGGGCTATATGAAAACGTGGACCTTCATGACCCATTTACGAACCTAACCTGCCTACTGGAAAAATAAACATGTGTGCAAAATTTTAGCCACCTATCTCAATTCATTCGAAAGATAGCGTGATTACAACAGACAGACAGACAGACGGACATCGCTAAATCGACTTAGAATTTTACGCTGATCAAGAATATATATACTTTGTTGGGTCTGATATGAGTATTTTGAGGAGTTACAAACGGAATGACAAAATTAATGTACCCTCCATAGTATGGTGGAGGGTATAAAAAAATGTATTTACTGTATATACCGATTTTGCTCCAACTTTGCAAATCCTTTGGATGGTGCACACCTAGCCAAAATGAGTGACACCTCAGCCAAAATGGGTGAAATTTTCAATTCATTTGCACTTGCTGGCACGTTCCAGCATTTATATCATATTTATTGAGGTAAGATACGAAATGGTCAATATTGGCCCATTTCTTCGGAACGTACTACATAGAGGGTCAACAATTTGAATAATCATACTTGAGGGTACACATGTGACGGCAAAACCGACTGGTACGTTTTAACTTTTTATATTTCTCCAGAACAATGTATTAACGTGGTACTGGATTAGAGGGTATCAGAAAACCATTATATCTCTGAGCCATCGTAATAGGTTTAGGGTAAAACGGTCACAGTCGAATTTAACAATTGGTTGAAAATTAAATTGGCTCAATTCAACATTATTCAATAGATCTATAATAAAAAGCCTAGGCAGGTAAACTACTAAGGTCCAATTAAGGAAGATATAAACCTGTGTTTCAATATACTGACCGATGTGCTAGACCTTCTAACACATCGATAAGTTTATTGGCAGACGTTCGAAAAAATGGAAACATTTGTCTTGAATGGAGTGAATTCATTTGGACTGATACTAGCCGTAATTTACCAATAAACCTGTGGGAGCTATATCAAAATCTGAGCCGATCTTGATAAAATTTGGCATAGGTATTTCTGAGCTTTATAATATATC